TAGTTAGCTATCTATAAAAAATTTATTATTTTAATAATTTTTTATAGATAGTTAACTATATACAAAATATATTAAAAGTCCAATTAGTCTTTTTCTCTTAGCAGTACTCATATTAAATTAATTATTTTATTCTTTATTTTATTTTTTATATATTCTAATTTAATTTTTTTAAAATATATTTTTCAATTTTAAATTTATTTTTATTTTATTTTATTTTATTTATTTTTTTATTTTATTTTTATTTTTTTTAGTTTTTTATTTATTTTTCTTTTTTTGAATTTTTTATTTTTATTTTTTTTTCTTTTTATTTTTTTATGTGTTTTATTTTTTATTTTTTTTAGTTTTTTTATTTATTTTTATTTTTTTGAATTTTTTATTTTTATTTTTTTTTATTTTTATTTTTTTATGAGTTTTATTTTTTATTGCACCTGCAATGTATTGCATCTACTATATCTCAAAATTTTACTAGGGTAAACTCTGTTGTATAACTAACAAAAAATGATCCTCTTACAATTTTACCTAAACACTAACACTAACCCTAACACTAACTTAAACCTAACTCTAATTATTGTAAGGGTGCACCCTAACTCTAATTATTATAGGGGTGCAATGTATTGCACCATGCAATAAATTTTAAAATCATTTTTTATTTATTATTTATTATTTTTAATTTTTAATTTTTTATATTTTATATTTTATTTTTTAGTTTTTATCTTTTATTTTTTATTTTATTTTTTATTTTTTTTATTTTTTATTTTTTATTTTGAAGATTTAATTTATAGTGCCATAGCATTATAGTGCTAGAGTTTTGTATCTAATTAAAATTTAATATTAGTTATAGCATGTAAATTACTTCTTTGTATAACAAAAAAATTAAATTTTCTAAAAGAATAGTTATATCTTAAAATTTTGATTAAAAAACTATTTTTTGTATATAATAAAAAAATTCTTTGCCAAATTTTAGTATAAACTATATCTTGCCAATCTTTAGTCTTACTTTAATGTAATACTAATAGGTATCTATAAGCTATACTAATTTAGTATGTGTGTATATACACCTCATATAAATTAAGAAAATTTAAAATAAATAATAATTTAAAATAAAAAAAATAAAAATTTAATTTAAAAAATAATAAAAAAATATTAAATAAAAAATTAAAAAATATTAATTAAAAAAATAAAAATAATAAAACTTTAATTTAAAAAAATTAATTAAAAAAATTAAAAAAATAAATAAATAAGCTAATTCAGGTTTATATAAAAATTATTTAAACCCAATTTGGATTTATTTAAACCCAAGATAGGTTTAAGATGAGTTCATTTGAACCCAAGACAGGTTTAAGTGGGCCCAAGACAGGTTAAAATAGACACAAGTTGGGTTCAAATGGACCCAAAACAGGTTCATTTGAACCCAAGATGAGTTCATTTGAACCCAAAACGGGTTCATTTGAACCTAAGATGGGTTCATTTGGACCTAAGATGGGTTCATTTGAACCCAAAACGGGTTCATTTGAACCCAAGATAAGTTCATTTGAACCCAAAATGGGTTCATTTGAACCCAAGATGGGTTCATTTGAACCCAAGGCGGGTTCATTTGGACCCAAAATGGGTTCATTTGGACCCAAGGCAGATTTATTTGGACCCAAGGCAGATTCATTTGAACCCAAGACGGGTTCATTTGGACCCAAATGGATTCATTTTAAATATAAGTTAAATCTAAACTAAGTTATTTAAACCCAGATCTAAAATAAAAAAGAAAATTAAAAATCTTATATCTGAATATAATTTAAGTCTAAGAATTAGAAAAAAATCAGAACCTCAAACCCGGAACAACGCCCGGGCCCTGAGAGCTAGTAGGTATTTATTTGTACACGTATATTAAAATTTTAAAAATAAAAAGTAAACCTTTGTTTATAGTTAGGGTAAGGTGAGGTTTGAGATTAGGGCGAGGCATAGTTTATACTGAAACTTTGCAAGGAATTTTTTTTTTTTAGAAGCCAAATGATGGTTTCATAATCGAAATTGTGAGAAATGTAAATGCCCGTGTATATACACTAGTGTATAAATAGAAATTATCTTATTTTTATTATGTTTAATATTAAGCCGAAATTGTTAAAGATATATTTCACTTAAAAACAATGAAAAGTGATTATAAAAGCTTTCAAAATATTAAAATAAATTGTTGTTTAGAATATATTTAAAATTTAGTTTTCATTGTTTATTATTTACTTATTAATTTATTATAAAATATTTATACCTTTAAAATTTTATCATGTATAAACCATCAAAAGTAATAAAACATTGCATATAAATATTTTTTTCAACTACCAGCAATTTTTTTTAAAATATTTAGTTCAAAACATCATGAGCATTTTTGATAGAATTTTTTTTCATTCAAAAATCTTTCAAGTTTCAAATAAAATAAAACCTTGTAGACTTTAACATATCGGTTCAACGTAGCAAAAAAAAACAACAATAATAAAATACTATGCAATAACGTAGTGACGGTAAAAAAGAAAGATTTGGATAATAAATGCCTTATAAGCAGATCCAGGTAATTGGTAGATCTATCCAGCTACCACTTTTACGAGTATAGAAAAACCAGTTGCAGCATTATATCATGCTCATTTAGAAGCAAATCAATTATATTCAAGATGGTGCAGATGAAAGTAATTTTTTCAAAAAGGCTTATTTCATTTAGCTTTCAATTAATGTAGTTCTTTTTAAAATATATATATAGTGTAAAATAAAATAAACAAAAGGCCCTACATTTCCTTTTCTTTTTATATTTTCGTCGCTGGATAACAGATATAGTATTTTATAAATATATTTAAACCATATATGCTTTTCATTGATTTGCAAATGATTCCGAATTGACAAGAAACATACAACAGAAGTAAACATATCGTGCTTGAATTTGATTGGTGTTGTTCACCGTGATGATTACTATGCCGATAATTGCTACACATTCAAGCAATGCGTGTCTGCAAAACAGAATTTCAAGATTACTTATCCTAGCCCGGTGCCGATCATTTCGTAGACAATTACTTCACAGGCAACTTAGTCAGACAACTAATTTATTGACAAGATTATTTTCTAGACGATTAATTCACAAATAAGTTCATTTCATAAATAGTTTATTTTACCGACAGCTCATTTCACAAAATAATTCTAGTCATTGTAGTTGAGATCAGGTTAGAATTAAAGTTAAGGTTAGTGCAATTTGTAAATAAAACTTGTCTGTAAAATGAGCCGTCAGTGAAATAGACTGTCTATTAAATTATCTGTGGAACTAAATCGTCTATCGGTAAAATGAGGTTTAACCTATGGATTAATCTACTGATTTAACCTGCGGGTTGATCCGTGATTTTAACCTATCGTTACTCTTTATCTAGGTTGACATAATTTAACCCGATATCAGACCACCCACAAGCGATCCAGATGATGCCAGCGTGAAAGTCAATCACAGAAAGTTAGTAAAAATTTTGAACCACACATGGTCCCGATTTAGTCCGAATCAACTTGTACGAAATGCGTAATAAAGACATTTTAATAAATAATTACTGTCAATTAATTGTGAATGAATTTGATAGTTGTCTACATTTTATTTTAATATTATATAATCCAATAAAAAGCGTAACATTAATTCTATTTCATATTATATTACAGATATTTTTATCTAGTTTTGTATTGTGGATATTATTTAAATTAAAGTTTACAAAAAAAAAATTGACTCAAAGGTATTGTAAAATTTGCACTAAAAAAATTCGATTAAAAAAATACTATATATTGCCACAAAATTAAATTATTTCCATAAGAATCCAATTGAATGTAAGGTAGAGTTTAACAAAGTTTGATGTTCTAGTTCTTGATCCGGAGAGACATCGGAGGGATTATCATTAGAGCGCCATTGTACGACAACGGGCGGTGCAATACTGTATGATTTAACGATTCCATTTTCAATCCTCCAGATTAATTCGAGATCAACCGGAACATTTAAAACGGAAAGTTCCTTTAATAACTTAAGGGCACCAGCGTATGAAACGGCATAAGCATGTGTACAATATGGTTGTTTAGAAGGATATAGTCTAAATATAGGAGAAGTATAATCTAAAGGTTCGAAAAAAGATGAACCCTCCCAGTTCATGCAATGTCCTAGATATAAAAGATCCCAATCATTAGGTAAAACACCATGAATATAGGTCATTATTGATGAGACATTGAGTTCAATATCTATATCGTCTTCTAATATCAAGGCGTTATCGTAACCATGATAAACGATCGATGCGTAGATCAGATAATGGCTGATGTAACAAGCTTTATGAGTATCAAACAGTTCAGTGGCATTATTAAATCTATTCAATGTTTTATGATCATCTGTAGAAATGGCAGTGAAAAATTCGACCTTTAAGCCGAGAGTATCTGTTATAGCTTTCATCATTTTGAGTCTATCCGGTCTCTTAGCAAGATTAATTACATATATATGATCAAAACCAAGAGTGGAATTGCGAGATTCGAAAGAATTTGAATGCGCTACTTTATCATCCTTTCTACCATGAGTGGAATAAGTAGAATGCTGAGGCATAAACATGTAAAAGAAGCTTGCAAAAGCCAATATTGTCAAGCTGCTGACAAATATTATTCTTAAAAGCGACCTTCTTTTTTTCAAAGTCAGCATTTGTAAATTGAATGAATGAAAATAATGTTGAGGGTACTAAAGAAATAGTTAATGGTTACATATTATTAGAATCTTTGTTTAAACGTACCATTAAATATAAAACGTATTCCAATTCAAGAATTTGTCACACAATCCAATTTTAGGTTACAAAACATTTCTTAAAATAGTTATTTGAGCACTGAATGTAAATTATGTACTCATTTATTTATTAAATTAATTAATACCAATCAGTTGGTTACATTATGTCACGTTTCGTTCTTGTGATTATAAAATCCAATTTATTCAATGTTTACTTTCGATATTACTTATAAAGCACGAAATAAGGTTATTCAATAAGAAATTATCGAGGAATTTTTAATTGAGCTGAATAAATTAATTATGTTTATTTAATACAATAATTGCGCCTCTTAAGAAATTTCAAAATTAAAGAAAGACATCAATATTTCTTAAATAAGTTAAAATTGAATCTGCGTCAGGCTTGCCTATTATGACATTACAAAAAGAAGCACAAATTCTGAGATTCAAATAAATATTGTACATATTTTCTAATTTCTTTTAATTAAAAATACTTCATTAAGAGTTATTTCAAAAAAAAGTTTTGCGAATATTAGCAGCGTGGGTGTGTGCTTCGATCCAATCGAATTCAAGGAACATATAAGTTCTTTCGTAGTATTTAAATAGTGGATATTTGATATGTAATGAACTTTCGTTCTCCTATTTTACAGTCTATTATTGGATTTATGTCGATGACATTATAACTAAAAAAATGTTAGTATCTTCTTTAATCAAGAATAAACTCAATGTTACTTACAAGTCTAGGAGAACTTTACTGCAATATTGTTGGAAGAGGTCGGTGGGTATTTTTACAAAGGCTATGGCTCCAAATTCTTCTTTGCAAAAGCCTGAAATTTTTAACTGTTTTTCGTTTGCTTTGCTCTATTTTGTCGCAAGTTTTTACGAAATTAAGGCCTTTCTTTTTTAATCAAAAACATCTCAATCAATAACGACCTTTCTTGTTTTATTTATTTGGTTGCTGGGTTTGTAAGACTTGGGATTATAATGTTCTGTGATTTTTGTATGTGTCCAGTTTTATAATATTTTATGAAAGAGAGAAAGGTGAATTATTTATAATTTTACTAATGACTGTTGTCTACATACGCGTCGTGTGATGACAATAAAATGGTTTGATCAGATATCTGATATATATATATATAAACAGCATACCCCTATCGTGATAAAACTCTTAAAAAGGAAACAACCAACCAGGATTTCAACGTGCGAAAGGGGCATCCTATTGTTATAGGGAATACAAAAATAATACTATATGGTATTATTTTCAAGGTCTCTATTCTATACAATATAGTACGTAAATTATGGATGCCCCACAAAAAGTTCATAGACATACATTTGTTTGATTGGCTAATGTATCAATTGCCGGGTAATTTATTTAAACAGTTAAAGTATTTTTTGAGAACATAACATTTCACTAACAAAGAATCATTGCGAAAGTCATTTCTAACTTCAAAAAAGAACGTCTGTATTCATTGTGCGAAAATAATCAAAATAAACAGTAACCCCAAGAACTTCACTTAGAAGAGAATATTTTTACTATTTATTGTAGTACTAGTTATATTAACTATATGTAAGCTCTAAATGCTGGAAATGGTCAACAAAAAAAAAAAAGAAGAGACGTTACGTGTAAGTTCTAAACCTAAATAACTTTGTGTACACCGTTTAACAAGTTATTGTAATAACAAAAAGCTTATTCTAATGCTCTTATTTTACGTATTCCGAATATTAGAGTTAAAACATTAGTAACTTCGGGTTTAGTAGTAGGTCGATAATATGTATATGAGTATTATTGTTAATAATAATAAATAAGATTACATTTATCTCATTTTACGCGTATCTACCTGTTCTTTTAACTTTATGGTTTATATCGAGAGTGGAATCAGTGAATAATTATTCGAGCTTTGATAGAAAATTTCGAGCATTGAAATAAACTTTATTCATTGAGTTTTTAATTGGTGTTTTCCTTGCGAATTTATGATTAGGGATGGATCGGTCTTCGTAAAGATCGGGACTAGATGGTAAAAGACCGAGGACTGAATAATTCTCAGTCCTCAGTCTGGAATCGTACCGGTCCTGGTCTTGATTATGGTCTAACGATGAATAATACTACTGATAAATGCTGATAAATTAATATAAAGAAAACAATGCAAATAATAATAATATAATAATAAACACTTTCTAACCATGAACGATAACAGAAATTTCTTGCTTCCATCTTCCAATATTTCTCAATGTGATAAAACAAGTGTCGAAGTTTCAATTCTAATGAAATAAATGTTGATGCTTCGAACCTCAATAAAATTGCCGACCAAAAAATAAAAAAAAAACACATGAGCTAGATTAGAAGACGAATCTGCAAGAGCGATTCTACGTTTAAAGAGTTGGCTTCAAAAAGAAATTTGCAAATTGAATAGTTAAACATCCCTGTGCTCAATTTTTTAAATTTAATGTGCCGTATTTTTTATAGGCCAATTCTATTTTCCAATCAAATTTTAATTATATTAATTCCTTAATATATTCTATTAGTCGAACGCAAAAAAACTTATTAATCAAAATTCTCAAGCATGACTTTTTTATTCACTAAACTTTATAAAGAATTTCTAAGCAATTTCTTATTTATTAATCATTTTGAAATACAGAAATTCCTTATACAGCAATAATTTTGAAATTTTATTGTGCGAGATGCAATTTTGTAAATTCTGTCAGAGTAGCTCAATGAAAAAAAAGATAGTCGTTAGAGTTATTAATCATAGATTGAAAACAAGGTTAACTCCCAAAGACTGGAGTCAACGAATAATAAGGCTACGCTGTGATATGTAATATTAATGAATATGGTGATTTGAATTGTAATCGAAAGAGGATTTTATAACAAATAGTACAATAAGAATGGCTGTGATTTGTAAATATACATGATGAAGCGAAATATACCCTTTGCACTTATATAATAACTTAATAAGAGAACCAAAGTGTTATATTTGTTACAATCCGTTATAACTAGGACTTATACTCTCAAACATTTCTTTCAATGTGATTAGCTAATTATGATTAATTGAAGTAATTCTTACAGTAATTTTACTGAAATTCATATTGCGAAATACAGTTATTAAATTTTACCAGTTCTGCTCAAACCCTAAATTTAAATACATTTAAAATTTTTGGTGCTCCAATACAGTAAACCCTCTCTATAATCACGCACTCAGGATACAAAAAAGTGACAATTATAGAAGTCAAATTAATTTTAAAAAAATAGATTTATAAAGAAAATGTGCATGTATAGGAGGTGACTATAGAGAGGTTTAACTGTATATGATACATAGTTGATTAAAAAGAATATATTGTACCCTAAAATTAGATATCATAAATTTTTGGGGTGTGAACAGAGTCGGCAAAAATGATAAAAAAAAAATTGCTCGACTCTTTTATTTTTATCACAGTAATGAACTCATTTGACCGGCCAATTCTTTGCAAAATTGAGCCCCAACCTATTAATTTGCACCCTAATGCTATTTATAACTTAGCAGGATTGTATCTTAAAATAAAAGTGACTGCGGCGACTCAGAAAAATTCAAAGATTTTTGAACCCATTGCGCAGGCTGCACAACCTGCATGTTAATATACACTAGCTGCCACCCAATTTCAGAATTTGTCATGACAGATTCTCGATTTTGATTAGCTAACGGCCTTTGCTCTATAAAATATTGGTCTGCATTACTTATATAATTTTTGACAGCATTCTAATAATAGAAATTTTTCTTTTTAGGAAAATAGTCCAGAATTAAATAAGAATCATTTATATTCATATTGATAAAAAAAATATATCAAACATATCAGATTTTGCTAAACTAAATAAATATAAAACAACGCACGTCAGAATTCTGTGATGCTGTTCATGTCGATTATAATTAGTGCTTCGCAAAACCAAATTAAAATTTGAATTTGAATCAAATTCAAATCTTGATTTGATTATGTGGAGTACTAATCATAATATGTGTAATATCTAATAGACCAATCAAAAATTGATGAATCCTAAGTAAACAATTTTATTAATTTAAAATGACAATATCTTTACAACTCGCTATTGAAGTTTAATAATTTTTTTTATTTTAATTCTATTAATTTGTAAAATTAAAATAAAAAAATTAATTTCGAATTCCATCAGGTTGTCGAGATATCTTCGTATAAGGTTGAGTCAAGTTTTAGCCCTGCCGCAACAAAAAATTGTCACGGCAGATTCTCGATTTTGATTGGCTAACAGCCGTGATCTGTAAAATTTTTGGTCCAGCCTTCACTTAACTAGTAAAATTCCGAGTAATTCCAGCCTAATTTTTGATCATCGCTCTTAGCCAATCAAATCAAGAATCTGCCGTGTCAATTTTATTGCGGCAGCTAGGGTGAAGTTATCTCGATAACGCCTGATGGAATTCAACAATAATTTTTTTATTTTATTCTACAAATAAGTATAAATAATTAAAATTGAGCTTAATTAGCGGGTTGTAAAGATACTGTCATTTTATAGGTGACCAGTGATCGGGTACGTACGTGGTGATCGAATATTGTGATCGGGGTTTGCATGAATGGCGTGTTAGTATAAACAATGTAGTAATTAGCGATTAAAGTTAGTATTGCATGAATAATGTAGTAATCATTAGCGATGAGAATGTCTGTAGTAATAAGTGACACAAATGTGTATTATTAGTAATTAATAAAAGGCATCGATCCAAATAGGGGAAGTGCCTAACTTTCGTTCTAGTAATTACCTTGACACTTAGTGAATAAACTGTATTACCTGTGTGAATACATTATCGGTGGTAGTATCTGATACGATACTCCAGTCA